AAGAGGACCACGTTCAGCGCCCCTTTTATACCTGAAGGATGCTCAAGATGACCCCCATGTGACTGGGTCCAAGTTCATCAGGCAGGAGTACAACGACACGGACCAAAATGTGATGAGCGTGGGAGCTTCACGACCACACGCGTGTCGCCCGCAATAGACATCCGCAATCTCAGAAGCTGTCGATAAGTGGCGGCTCATGATTCGACAACCTCGAGGTCTCGAGCGGGGTTTGCGGCGTCTCCCCTTGGAGTGGAAACACATGCAGGGCACCCATATCGGGACAGCACCTTGTGAGGGACCAAGACTCGTGATTGGCGCCGAGACATGGAAGGCCAACCATGTGAGCAGGCTTGGCCGCACGGCAGCCCACGCGAAACATGCGCTACAGGCAAGGCGTGGCTTTGTCTTCGATGAATGGCGTGGGTGAATAGGAGATCGTCACGGGTGGGACCATGCAACGCGGGAGCTCAGTCCACACCTCGGTTAACAGCTCGGGCGAACCGCGTGGGGACGGGAGCATAAGCTGCGTCCGCGAATGGTAGTGCGCGAGCTACCGTGACGCTGTGATGAGGATGTGCTGAGCTCCTTGATGGGGTGAGGCGTGAGTTGGCAGGCAGGCGTGGTTCCAAATGAGGCATGCATGCATGACCTGCATGGAGGAGGCCTAAAGGGAGGGGCTGAGTCCACAGGCTGCTGGATGAGACGGCATGGCCTGTGATGCGCGCGTGGGCACACGGCAGGATGATAGGCAAGGCACGTTTGCCTGTGGACGCGAAAGGCGGTTGGCGCGGGTGAGAAAGATATACACATCCCACTCCGAAGGCCTCAGCTGACCCGAGTGCCCGACTCAGGCAACGCTAGTTGTTGGGGGTCATGCCTCGGTGAAGCATGAGCCACGGGGCAGACTTTGCCCACGGCGAATCGGAAGGAAACTCGGAAGAGAAGACGGCAAAGCCTTACGAGATGTTGTGACTCGAAGGCTTTGATGTGTCAGAGGGAGAAGATTGTCCATGAAGCCGGGTAACTCAGGACATGAAGATGGATGATGAGGGAGTAACAAGAGAAAGAGAAGGATGGTTCGAGTTGTGAAACAGCTCAATAGAAAGGACACTGTATGCTCGTCAACTTGCCACTTGGCTGAAAGAATCATCGTTTTCTCCTTGTCAACCTATTGATCCCTCAGTTGAGCGTGATCTTCTGTGGGATGGTGTCGGAACTGCCGCTGACTTGGTCTGGTCCTAGAACTGGCGAGGACGGACGAGGTAGCATCATCCCGCGCGGGGGTGAATCCTGAGGGAAGGGCGAGAAACACCATGGGCAGAGGGAAGGAGGTCAAGTCTATGCCTGCGCGATGATGGTTGTTGACGACGTCCATTTTATAGCCCCCTTGGTGACTGCGTTCCCCCTCAACGGGACAGCATGGCCTCATTCCGATCACTGGTGGTTATCGCGGTCGAGCCCGAAATGAAGGCAGCCAGAAGCGTCGAGAGCACTGTAGAGCTGCTGACCGCCCCCGAGAGCTGGCTACTCGTCACTGGTTTTACTGATGAAGGCCCATACATCGAGCCATCAAGGTTGCCCATCAGGGTTCTCTCAGTGGGCGCTTATCTACCAGCCATCAAGGTTCTCCAGGAATGAAATCACGGGACTTGGGCGTGACAAGAGTTTTTTCTATCTCAGCTGTATACCAAAGGTCGTCTTGAAGATCTTGCTGGTCATGATGTAAAATGAATGAAACGGATGCAGAAATCCCCTTTCACTTTGGTTGTTCACTGCAGTTCGATCGACGAGCCCCTACATGGTGGCGTATATCCCTCATACCAAGCATGCGACACAAACCCCACCACCAAGCGCGTAACTGCACCACTTGGAATTAATACGCAGAAGAGTATATGTCAAGTTTGAGGAAGAACCCCCAAGTCGAGCTAAAGCTTCGTTTGAACCTCATGACAGAAATCCAGCCCGTCATAGGGACTATATACGCCGCTGTTCAATCACTGCTGAGGGATATTGATAACCTGTATACGGAAGATAAGTCGATCGAAACGCATAGTCATTTTCTGGAAACAGCGGATATAGTTATCATGATAATTAGGTACTACTAGTCGTTCAGGACGAACATCCACAGAAAGTACATACTTATTGGTTCAGTTCAAGGGTTCAAGACATCGAATACTTGGTACACTTTCGCTGTAGAAGCTTATTCAGCAACCCTGCCAGAAGAATAGAAGCGAGCCACTTTTAAGAGGATAGGTAAGCTAGATACTATCATAGGACTCTTATAGTGTCTTATTGACCTGTGAAGGAAGCAGCTTATAGGCCGTCATCATGCTCGCTGCCCCAGTCGCTCGTATCCGCCATGGCCTTGAAAAGAAGCTGTAAAGCCTCGATATCGCCTGAGTAAGGCGCTTCTAGGTCGTCAT